CTAACACAAATACTTGTTATGGTTAGGGAGCTAATGGTTTTAGGCGGGGGGGGGTGTGATTAAAAGCAGGGTCTTTGAAAACTGCGAAGACGTGGCAGTAAGTTAAGAAGTCCAATAAGTTCATGAGGGGGGGGGGAACGCAAGGGAAAACAAAAATTGCTCGCATCCTCCCTCTAAGTCCATTCTCCTCCCTAAGGCTTAGTCCCAAGTACTGTAACTTTCTCACTCACTCGAACAGCCACAAACGACATAAGCTACCTTGTGAGTCCCACATTAACATCTACCGCGTCAAAGCTGACGAATAAATGAATACGGGTGATTGCCTACAATTCTCGCACAGAACGGAAAACTGATACATTTATTCAGAAAAAATCAAACTCACTGGAATACTATAAAGGGCGTACTCCATCCGTTTCGGATGAGCCACAGACCAAAAGCGTAGGCGATAGCGAAGTTTACCACAACGAAACTGTTCGACAGCGCTAGGGACAGCGCCTGCCATAGGCCTGAATTTGTTGTAAATATATTTCTCCCTTCAAAACAATTTTTAGCATTCTTTAATGTTGAATTTCTTAATGAGTCTTTTCTACCAATGCCTTTATCAACAACGTTGTAAAGCGCCTTGAAACACACGAAGAAGGGCCGTACTGCTCAAAGACAGTGATTACGATAATTTGTTGTCGATCAATCGTGGGAGTAGAGGTGCGGCAGTGACCGAATAGATTGCCACAAATCAGGGAACTGGATTCTCATTCCGCTTTCTGACTTCAGACGAGTTCACGGCTTAGATGCACACCGCTTGGGTGAGGAGGACACGATTGCAAGCTGCGGCCGTTGGAATGGTAAATGCGCTTACACAACCACCTTGATAATAATCGCAAAACCCCGCGTGAGAGCACTGCGGTTTTTAGGTTTTGAGCTTGACTGCATGATAACTAGCGCGCTTCTCGCCATGCATACCCTACATGCCGCTTCCTTTGGTACTTGAATACCGCTCCTACCCTATTGGTGCACTTGGCCTGGCGCAGGACCTCTTCCTCTTCTTCATTTGGGTTGAATATTGCGTGCAACATCAAGTTGACCAGAAGAAATGGATCCCGGTACTCAATTTGTTGGATAAGAATGTCCAGAGACGATCGTACGAGGAAGACGCCCCGGAATTCGGGTACTGGAAGTGTCAGAGAAATTCTGGCTTCGGAGGAATGTTGCAATGGCTATGAATATCTATATATCTAAAGAGTGACCCGTGCTGGTATGAAAGATACTGATTAATTGGTACATCATTTCATACATACGTATATCTAAGGAGCAAATTATCATATGCCAAGTTTTTCGAAAGTACTTGGTTTGGACATCAGATTGACACCGCAGGTCACGGTATGGGCCGCATGTATACAACCAAGCCCAAATTTTGATTGAAAAAACATTGGACGAGGCATTCCGAAGAGGTGCATAGACAATACCCACGCTGCCCCTTTCTATTACCGAGCTCACCTCGTACAAGAGCCCTTTTATGAGGTTCCTGTGCTGCAGCACAGTATGCTTCGTACATGTAGCCCTCCTTACAGAGTGCTTGGATCGTTCGTGTGTTCGAAATTGATTCCGTCACTATCTGAATGAATAATCATCTTTTTCGAAAACAGTCCACGAATTAATCTCGCCAAGATCAAACAGTAATCCGCTTCTGCTTGAGGTTCCGAGACTTTATCCACTTTTATCAGGCTAGGCGCTTCCTAAAGCGCCGATTCCTCAAATGCTTCGAAAAGGCGATTTTGCCGAAATATAAGCGATTAAACTTGATATTGCTCTTGACGGTTCGAGCAGTAGCAATCAGACTACCTTTCTCTTAAAGGGGTACTAAAATTTCCAAAGAATTTGTACCTGACTGGCTTCCACAGCTGACTCCATATCTCTCTGTCCTCTGAACTTTAGATATTGAGCAACAGACGATTGAGCGAAGACTGAATAGACAACTCTACATAGAGGTCGTCGTTTCTCTGACTTGCCAATAATTTTGAAAAAGTCGTGGCTCAGTGGGATGGACGATTACAGAATATTCAGGCTGGCGAGACTTTTCCTAGTGGCGCTTCATTTCTTTTCTAGTTCTAAATAACGATTCAGCCGTCGCTCACCGATGTTGCATTGAACGAACGGAAACTTATAATTGTAGCTTAGCAAATTGTGGATTAGGATTGGATTATTGAGAAGTGAAGCCTTCTCTGCCCACCTCCCCCATTATTTTCAAGGTTGTGGTTTATTAATGGAGAAGAGCCACCAGAGACCAGAAGCTCTGATCTAATGTTGAGCCTCCTGTAGAAATCACTTCACCCCATTAGTACCCGAGCAGTGCTAAGCCAGATGAGCGACCTTGCCAGCCGTAGGAAAACGCAACGACAATTCCAGCCACCAAAGCACAAACACCTTGCAACACCTCTGCGAGCCTTTGATCGATCGCCTAGTTATAATAAATTACTGGACGTGATTATATCATTACTAAATGTCATTGTCTACATATTAGCAAAGTAGTAAGTAAAAACACAACACAAGCAGAGTCGAACATTGGAGCTTCCTCGCTCTTGACGAGCGCCAGACGGAGACAAACGGATGTCGTCCCCATGCTATGGGGTCCATCTGACAAGTTCTCAGGCTCCGCAAGCAGTTCAACTGCCTCAGGGTTTGGACCTGCAGCAGCCCCGTCCCTTATGCTCGCGCCTCCATCACCATCATACTCTCTCTCCGCGTTCAGTCTCTCCTTGCCTTGACACAGCTGCATTACGAAAGTGAGAAAGCTTTTAGAGAAGCTTTCGGAAGAGATCTTTCCTTTTTTACCCCGTACTGCGCGCCCCTTTCGAAACTTCGTCCGGCCCTACTGTTCCATGATCCGTGGAAGAGTTCCTTGTTAGACTGAAACTCCAGTGGCACTGGCTGGTCTAGTCTGCATGCATTATTGACAAATTTGTCACAGGGGGTGCAAAAATCCTTACAGCTTGCACATTCGGTGTGTCCGAAGCGAGATGGGCTGTCAAATTTCCTGTGTTGTGGTTTGGATCGTCAAAATAGGAAGCATCCTGGCGCATAATGTTCTGCAATCATACATAGATTATGTTACATTTTCTAACGTGGCATAGAATATTGAGCATATAAAATATTTTCGACAATTTTTTGATCTAAAGTTGAGCCATTTCTTCAGAGGGCATCCATTTAAATGAAATACCTGATAACAGGACCCTATTTCGAAAAGTCAATGAATTAATTTGGAATTAGTGGCCCTCAGAAAATCAGTAAAAATCGCATAATTAACGTGAAAAACGTGGCCTCTACCAGCCTTCTTCCCCTATCTTGTCTTCAGTTCGCCTTCAGTTCTATTCTTGGCACCACCCCTCACCCTTTGCTACAAACGGTTTTTTTTTTTGATAGATTTTCCATGTTTTTATTAGGTGTTTCAGAAAGTTCTGTCGTTTTCCAGCCCCTAATTTTAAATGCACGTATCTCGGCTTGGGCTAAACCTTTCGAGTTGATTAAAAAACCATTTGAAAGCGCGAATCTTGTTCTATAAGAAACCGTTCAACAGGGTACGTTTATTTGGAATGCTGGACCTCTGGAGGCGATGAACTGAGGGAAGGTCGTTTTAGCATCATGTTGGTTTTTGATGTATTTCTCTTCAAGGAAGCTATCGAGATCGTCAGAAGTTTGACAGTAGATAGTTCAAGATGTTCGCAGAACCACTCTGAAGTTCAGCTGGTACAACTTGTGAAGGGTTGGCCGTGCGATGTGCGTTCAAGACACCTTTCAGGGATGTGTGTGTTCCTTTATAATGAGGAATGCTGGACCCATGTCCTAGAGTTTTTGATGATTTTTGAATTAGTATAAAGATTGATTCTCCACTGTAACAGTTCCATCTGATACTGAAGAACATGGCCAGCCGCTGGCCCCATGAAAGCTGCCACAACCCTCCTCCAGCACAGTTTAAATTCTGCAAAGTTTGTAGAGCTTCATCGCCGTCGATCTATTCAGCAAACTTTCGTAGACTATAGAGAAGAATCCGCTCTTTATTGTACGTCGCAAATCTGTAGAGAAACGAGTCGCTTTCACCACATAAAACCAGCGACAATTTGATGGACGATGCTTCAAATTGGTGATTTGTCGCGGCACGCCACTATCGAATTTTTTAGACTTTCCAGCTTCTTCCGTATAGCTTGGCTGTACAAACCATATACGCCCACGTTGGGCAGAACCTCCTCTATGGTCTTACGCACAAGTGCTTCAATCAGAACTTTTGGCTAATCGGAGACACCGTCCGATGTCCGACCACTACTCTCATCATATTCAAGGCTCTCGCCTTCCTTACAATAAATTTTTTAACTACTGCTTCTGAGCACATTTATTGCAAATCTAGGCCCAAAGCATCGTTGATATCTTGAACTGTTCCCGCCACTTTCAGGTCTATTTAAAGCTAGAAAAAGAAAGTCATGCCAACTTGCTCATCGAGTATACCTGCATTCAAAGCTTTGAAAAAGCTATAAGAAAATATTTTAGGATAAAGTTGCTGAGCATTGGATAGAGCTGGAAAAGTTCTTCAAAATGACATCAACATCAATTGCAGCTTTCCTAGATTTCAAGGGAAATAAAGCATCCAAAAGTGGAATGTCAGAAAACGACAGAACTTTCTGAAACACCTAATAAATGCATGAGAATATGAAGTTAAGGCGAACACGCTACCCCGCTTTTCTGAGCCCATTCATTAAGTTCCTAAGAAGGTTGTCAATTCATAGCAATGGGGTAGGGCGAGTTTCATGTGTACGAAAAGCTGAGACGCGCGAGTCCACAGTTTCTAAATGAGAAGGAGCAAGCGAGGAATTAGGATTTAGGAATTTTGACAAAATTTCGGAGGAAAATGTGTTAGTAAACTTGTTGAAGTGGAGCTAATACGTCAAGCTCTAACGTCGCTAACAGAGTATAATAGGCCGAGTCATAAGTCCATTGCCGATTCTCTTCAGACCCACAGCATAGCAAACGTTTGTGTTGTTTCCGCCCATAGCAGTATGTGGCGGCCCAAGTGTTCATATTACGAAATTTGACCGTTAGTACTCGTCTGTTGAGAGAAATAATGCCGTTCTCCTCAAATATGGACGTCACTGTCTATTTTACGATTCCGTCTACTGCACACAGCAAGAAGAGCCTGTCGGGATATTTGTGTATCTGGAGGACCAGACTCGCTAATGAGAATATCTATTGAAATTGGTTCGGGAAGCTTCGCCCAGGGCGACTATAACCCTGAAGACCGACCATGTTTGGACACCCAATGGCCGTAGATATTGAACGCATGCAAGAGCTTCTTGAAGGCAACCCGGTACCAGTACCCGTCAAACTGCAGTAGACCTTCAGTCCTCCCAGTGCACCATGTATCGTTCCCTCTGAAGAAAGACAAGAGGTTACTGGGGAAGAGGAGTCTAGCCAAGCAAACTACGGAGGCATCAGTGGGAACGTGCAGCTCAGCAGCGACAACGAGCCCCACCCAAATAGGTGAACTTCACCCGGAGTAGGTTCCGCTCTCCGATTGTAGGATTGGTTCATCACACACTTCAAACAATACCACTGCCGACGCAGACACCTACTGCTTACAGCTGGATAAACTTGCTTGGATATCGCAAAGTTGAGGCTCTCAATACATGAAATTGTTCCACTGCGCCGCAGCTCACAAGCCACATGTTTCGATTGAAGGCCAGAATACTGTAAAGAAACTTGGCCTCATGATTTCCCCCACTCTTTTCAATTCCCAGAGGTATAGCAACCAGCCACCAGTTGTTTCGCTTGCTTGCTCGTTTATTTTAACGAGAGAAACTGGGATGATGGCGACGGCACTTCAAAACAGACATCCACTGATTCTTGACGTCGAAATGTTGCGTAGTTTTGTGGGGAAAGTATCCATTTACTTTGCGGATAGATAGGGACAGTTGTAGACAGTTGTGGTAAATAGGGCACTTAACCAAGGTGGATTCAAAAGAAAGTTGTGAATTTTTGAAAATTTTTGTCAAATCGGCAATTACTCATGACTCAGCCTGATACTTCTATTTGAGCTGCTCTCGAAAGCCTCACATTTTGTGCAAAATTATTGTCTCACCTTGAACACATCCATTCGTAGTCGCATTGCCATCTTTTCACCTGTGATACCGAACAGTGATCCAGAGGCGAAAGTGGTGAGACCGGAACCAATGGCGAGCAGTAGAAAGAAGATTGAATTGAGGATGTTACCACTGGCAAGCGCCTCCGGATCCGGATTCGATAGCAACTACAATGGAGTAATTGGTGATAAATGCTTGGTAGTGATAGATGGTTCGACGCAGAATAAAAAAAATCGAAATGTAGAGGGCTAATTCAACCGAAATAATTTTGCTGAACCATGAACTGTAATTGTAATGGTGTTGGTCGGGAGCATCACGATAGCACTTACTCACTGCCCAAAGGTGCTTTTTATTCTTCGAAAAACATCGTGATGTGTAAGCGTCGTCTTAAGTACATACACTGCGTCCCATAATTATACGTCCACCTAAGAATTTCCCAAAATCTCAGAAATACAGATGTTACGAAAAAAGTCTCCTATGTGACAATGTATCGCATATAAATACGCAATTGCCTATGAACATCAATTTTCTATTTGAGATCACAGGAATTTTTCCCAATAATTTTTGTGTAAAAGGCCACTCAGCCGACGTCCCAAAATTATACGTCCACCTCACGTTTATCGATTACTTTTCACTTCTGTTCCACGAAACTTTTTCATTGTGGTAACACTTCACTTCTTAAGGGAACAGCATAATAAAGACTGCTGTTGGATTTTGAGAAAGGGAAAATGTCGCAAAAACTGATGAACAACGGAACCGCACCAGATTTGGTCCAGATTCACGCCAAGCTTGAGAATTTTTTCAGGGGTTTCACATGATATGGAGCTTAGAAGAGCTCTAAAAGTCTCTCATTACTTTTCGATGGAAACAAAGGCCGTGTTACAGAAATAACATCCATTTTCATCCAACGGTGCTCTGTCATCGAATCTTCTTGAGAACTTTATGCCTCAACAGACTTTTGTTTCATGCATGTAAAGGAATCCCAAGATCGTTCTTGATCGGAAAATGTGAAAGACGTTCATTTGTGGCAAGGAAATCGTGACGAAAACTGGGCTGATTTTTGCATGAAGGTGCAGCCGAGCCGACTGGAGCAGGGTCCTTTTTTCCTTGCTATGCATGAGTGTTTGTCTGTCTTTCTTTTCAACATTTTCTTTCTTTTAGTAGTGCTCCTCTAAGAAAAAAGCCATTGGGAAAGGTAAGACGTGAGAAGAAACAAACAAATGCCAAAACATATCGGGCAGAAGCGAACCTTACTTCAGTCGGCTCGGCTGCACCTTCATGCAAAAATCAGCCCAGTTTTCGCCACGATTCCTTGCCACAAATGAACGTCTTTCACATTTTCCGATCAAGAATGATCTTGGGATTCCTTTACATGCATGAAACAAAAGTCTGTTGAGGCATAAAGTTCTCAAGAAGATTCGATGACAGAGCACCGTTGGATGAAAATGGATGTTATTTCTGTAACACGGCCTTTGTTTCCATCGAAAAGTAATGAGAGACTTTTAGAGCTCTTCTAAGCTCCATATCATGTGAAACCCCTGAAAAAATTCTCAAGCTTGGCGTGAATCTGGACCAAATCTGGTGCGGTTCCGTTGTTCATCAGTTTTTGCGACATTTTCCCTTTCTCAAAATCCAACAGCAGTCTTTATTATGCTGTTCTCTTAAGAAGTGAAGTGTTACCACAATGAAAAAGTTTCGTGGAACAGAAGTGAAAAGTAATCGATAAACGTGAGGTGGACGTATAATTTTGGGACGTCGGCTGAGTGGCCTTTTACACAAAAATTATTGGGAAAAATTCCTGTGATCTCAAATAGAAAATTGATGTTCATAGGCAATTGCGTATTTATATGCGATACATTGTCACATAGGAGACTTTTTTCGTAACATCTGTATTTCTGAGATTTTGGGAAATTCTTAGGTGGACGTATAATTATGGGACGCAGTGTAGATACTCGGCTGCATGCGGTTAGCAGATGTGTCTGTGTGTTATATGTTCTCATTGCACACGGCTACTCTAACCTATCTCAGCCCTCCCACGCTCATATGGAAGAAAGACTCATTTATGTGATTCAAAGCTTCAGAATGGAGCATTGACTCTCCCCTTTGGCACGGTGAACCCTCAATTTTTAGGAAAGTTCAGGAAAGAAAAAGAAAAATTTATGAACACTTGGCGAAAGACCGGGAGTAGAACTATAAAATTTTCTGTTTGTGGCTTTGTCCCGATTATATATGATGTGATGGGTCAAGAATGTTCACATTTTACACATAATTACTGTTTGAAAACATAAAAACGTCGTGGAGGCTCATTACCCGAACGAGTTTTCCCAGATATAGAGAACAGCCCGGCCCATGTGAGTCCGTACAAAGTAAAGATCAAAGAAGACGGCCATCTGACGTTCCTAAAAAAAATTTTGAGATATTCAATTTCGGTTCATTTCTCAGGTGCGGTGTGGGCGGTAGGCTTACAGGCCATATACGTCTTGACTCTCTCAATTTTCGCTGGCCCCAATAGACTCACACAACTTTCTATGGCACTTCCATAATTTATTAGAATCATAGAATATTCGTCCCCATTATGCATTCTATGAAAAAGTCCTAAAACACTCTTTTGCATTTCTTTTTTCTTTTGAAAGTAGGTAGCATTTGGGACCAACAAATGGTAGAGAAATTTTGAAGTTTCCATCCACTGGGTGAATATAGGCGCTCGGCAGTTATCCAAGAAATTCTGAAAAAAACCTCGAACATTGGTCAATCTGTTCTCCGAATCATTGTTTAATTCAAATGCCTCGATATGGCCGACTGTCAGATTTGCGAATCAAAAGTGCTACTAGCAGTTCGGCTATTAGTCCGCGTTCGCGTTTTTTACGTACCAAACTAATGAGCGATTCCTGACCACGACGCGACCGCGAACGCATTGCTGGGCAACGCCTCAGATTCGCTAAAGCAGCTGACATCGGCCTAACCATATCCCTTCCAGCGACCAATATCTGTTATAGCTTCAACGGGATTGTCGCTCACCATTAAAACCTGCACCAGCTCTTTCGATTTTTTGAATATCTCTTCGAGAGGCCAGTAGCGACTCGCTTTTCCAATTGCGGATAGGGCTGGCCACGGATGTTCGACTACAATTTCTCTGCTATGGGCACGTATTGTGAAGGCAGAGGTCTAACGCTGCAAACCATCCAGAAGCTTGGCCGGGGAGCTCGTCAAGAAACGCTCGTATCGCGACAATGTTTCTTCCCTCCTTCATTGCGAGTCAACATGGTGCGAAATAAACTCACCAACAAATTATACGAAAGTTACAAGAGAAGGTCTTTCAAGGTGTGCCAAGCTTTTTCAAAACGGTCTTTTGCATGATATAGGGGAACATGCGGGAACCACAGAACCATGGTTAATTTTTCCTGAACGGCCCTCTGAATACCAGAAAAGGGGGTCCCTAGTCACACCTTTTTCGACAGTTTTTCAATCAAATCAATATTTTTACGGGTTACCGGCCATTCAAATAAAATAAAGGATAAAGCATTTGCCGTTGATCAATCCCTTTTTGGGATGCGGCACGCATTCTACTTCCATTTGTACATTCGCAGTGGCGTTTGAATGCGATGTGGCCTATACAATGACTTGCGGGGGCCAGCCGATGTACAAGTCAGTGTTTTTATCCTCCCAGACAAGTCTGGTACCAATTAACCGACCCCGGAGGGATGGAAGGCTTGGTTGGCCCGGGCGACTCACGACCCAGGATTTGATCCCGGACCGCTCGCGTGGTGAGCGCGCCACTTGTCACTGCACCACTTCCGCCTCTTAAATAACTATGGTATAGTTAATTCATGCTTGTTTGCGGCGTAATTTGGAAAACGTCAACAACGAAATGCAAAAACCTTGTCACCCACGAGGAACAACTCGAGACTCTTTTCTGGTGTTTCAGAAAAGTCGTTCTAGACAGGTGGTGAAGTCCGCTCCTCCAAGTGGTGCCACTGGGAACTGCTCACTTTTGTGAGCTGAGCTGATCGCGGACATTCGAATGCAGGCGACAGGCCCCCGTGACAGGCCGGCCTACGAACACCCACTCGACACCTGGGTTATTACGCATGGGGCACATCACAAATGTCAATGTCGCCATATGATCGAGATAATGCTACGGCGTCCGCGGGAGCCGACGCGCACTCGCAAAGCCCGGCGAGTGTGAAAAGTATGCGAGGGTCTCCGGTGCAAGGACGGCATCGGGGGGCAACTAGGCTAGTCCAAAAGTCCCGCAACGTATGCAAGACTCGCGTCGCAACGTTGAATGTTGGCACGTTGTCGGGCCGCTCTTTTGAGTTGGTAGAGACACTGGAGCGCAGACGAATTGATCTCTGTGCTGTGCAAGAAACGAGGTGGTCCTGCTGCAAATCGAAGGACCTTGGCCGTGGCTTCAAAGCCATTCTTTGCGGCAGTCCCGGGACAACTAACGGTGTCGGTGTTATCGTTTCTGAACGTTTCCGTGACTCGATTGTCAGCGTTGAACGTTACGATGACCGCCTAATGAAGATCGTTGTCGCTTTTGAGCAACGTCAATATCACTTCTTCTCTGCGTACGCTCCGCAGACAGGCTGCTCCGAACACGCCAAGGACCAGTTCTGGGCCTTGCTGGATGACAAAACAGCTGATGTACCATCGCAGGATGCCCTAATTGTTGCCGGTGACCTAAATGGTCACGTGGGGGCTACGAAAGATGGTTACAGCTGTCATGGCGGATTTGGGTATGGGTCACGAAACGCCGATGGCGAGAGAATTCTAGAGTATGCAAACTCGCACAACCTCACCATCGTGAACACAAACTATCGCAAACGTGACTCCCACCTCATCTCGTTTTACAGTGGGGATACCAGAACGCAAATTGATTTTGTCCTCGTCAGGCAGCGTGATAGAGGGCTAGTGACGGACGCGAAGACGGTGCCGTACGAGACGGTCGCCACGCAACACCGACCACTGATCTGCACCCTGAAGGATCACTCCTCCGAAAGTAAAGCAAGTTGAACGGTGCGGGCCTGCAAGGATCAAGTGGTGGCGACTGAAAGAAAAAGAATCTGCGCTGTTTTCCCGCATTCGCTTACCGACAGTAACGACCGTCGACGAAACGTGGGAAAGTGCCACCGAAGCGATAGTCCGTGTCGCTCGCTCCGAACTC